AAATGTGGTCACATGTCTGCTATTCTCTTATAACATTTTGATACATTTTCGTGAGAAACAGGGAGCACCTGTTTCTTGGCAGCAGATCAGACGTGTGCATCTAACCTGACTCCACAAGGATTTAACGATTGAATCACTTCCGAACTTGTCCCGCCTATGTACACAACTTAATTAGTTCTGATTGGATCCCATGACTCAGGAACATTTTCATCGTGTTTTTATTTATCGACAAAAGTGTCATCATAGTTTTTGTAGTCGTGCATTAGTTTTTATTTAGTTATCGTCTTATTTTTGTTAGGAAAAAAACAACAAGTCATTGACGAAAACTATGATGGAAATTACTAGTCAACGAGATTAACATTGCTTTAGGTGCTGAGAAAACATTGAACTGAACATTAACCGGTGGTCTGTCAACACCTACTTTCAGTAGCAGACACATAAGCGATGGTGATGCCTCCAATTTCCGAGTCACTAAATCGAAGCAGGAATGTTCCATTGGGCCTGTCTTTGAGAATCAGGTGGAGATGCTGCTTCCCAATAAAACCAAATATCAGCCTGTTGGGGCAAAACACTGTAAGCTTTTTTATCACAGGCTATTAACATTCACTGGTGAAACAGCAGCAGAATCTTCCAACCCTTCGCTCCAGTAGGTCTTCAGGTGTTTCTTGGTCAGCTCCATTACTCCCTCAAACCACTGCCAGAAGGTAAACGGTCGACCTGGGAGAACCTCCTGTAATGTTGAAAGGCACCGTAAGATTTGTAGGTCAAAGTGACCTGTGCCAGCGAATAGAAGCACATGCGTACCTTATTAAACTGGGCCCAGGAAACCATCATGTTGCTGAAATCCTCATTAAAGTCGGGCTTATCAAAGATCTTCTGTGCCAAGAAGTGTTGGTTGTACTGGTCCAAGTTGTGCTGCGTCCCAACCTCAGATGTAAATTTGCTGTTGAGAGTGTTGTACATCATCCTCCACGGCACGCGGTCCGGCACCACAAAGGGTATTCTGTCCTGATGGCAGTGACATAAAGGCTGATAAAGCGAAAACACTGATACACATATATATTTTTTTTAAATTTGTGAGGGGACGAGTAAAACCAAATTTAAAATGGAAAGAGAAAAAGGAAAATATATAAACGCACTATTATGGATATGTTAAAGGCAGACTTTGGTAAACTGCGTTTATTCCCTCATGATAAATGTCTGCTATTTATTTATGTTCTATTTTTATGACATTTCCACTTTCCCACACACGGGCTCTAGGGACACTCAACTCTTGCCAAGTTCAGGAAATTGGGTCAAGTGTGTCACTGCACTCATATTTTTTCCACATGACTGCTGCCACACCTCTTATCTAAAGTTCAAGTTTGATTTTTTTTGCCACATGCAGTGGCAGGTTGCCCTGCAGTGGAATGAACCCCGCCCCTGACCTTACACAAACAACACAGACATCACATGGGGATACAAGTCAGAGAACGGTTGCATTACAGGAAAAAACACTGAAATATACACTACAATGGGAAAGTACAAGAGGAAAAAAAGAGACCTCTACTCATGCTGGGCTATAGGAGGCAGCATGAGAACAGGAAACAAAAAAACTCCTCTGCACAGAAAGCACAGCAACGGGGTTGGGTAGGGGATGAGGAGTAATCCCAGGCAACACAGCAGCCATCCTGCCACTGCGCCGACTCTCCAGCGCAGGCCCAGACCCACCTCGTGTTCCCAGGAGGCAACAAGCATCGAAGGCATAAAGTATATGCTGTTAGCTGCTGCTTCTCCATTTGTGCATTTTATAAGCCACAGTCACCTCCTAACAGTTGCATCTGTGTTTCTTCCACCGCAAGGGGAAGTTGATATAATGCCTCGCCAGTCCCTGCAAAGATCAACCGCCATCTTGACGTCTTCCAACAACGTTGTCTTCGACGGCTGCTCAAGATCACATATCGGGATCGCGTTACCAATGAAGAAGTATATCGCCGTGCGGGAGTAGAGCCGCTCCATGTCCAAGTCGCCAAGTGTCGGTTCAGATTTGCCGGTCACATCCTTCGTCTAACCGAGACCTGCCCGTGTCGCGGTTCTGTGGAACCCGAAGAATGGAAAGAGACGGCGAGGAAGACCTAAAATAACATGGAGGAGGACTTTCCTTGAAGATTTACGTTCAGTCGAACTGTCATGGGATGAAGCAACAACTGCCGCGATAGAACGAGTTCGATGGCGCTCTCTTGTCGCCCGATGCGCCGATCGGCGCGGGAGGATCTAAGTCTAAGTCTAAGTAAGTCCCTGCTGAATTCCAGTTCAGGGGTGAAGTCGAGAGTATGAAGCACATATTGTATGTCGTGGCTTTCAAACACTTGTAACAGCAGAAAAGACAAGCTGCAATACTGAATGTAAAAAGGAAAAATCAAAAGAAGAACTTCACACTTACTTGCTCAGAAAATGCACAGTCCCATATGATGGTGGCCACAGCATTGTTGTCTTGACTGCCGTGAACAATAACAACCACTGGCTGAGAGATCACCTGTAATCAGACATGTTACGTAATAGTCAACATAACTACACCGTGTGTGTGCTCAGCATGCATTCAACAAAACAGATCATAAGTTAGCAAAATAACTCAAGTCAACTGTAAACAGTTAAACAACAGTCAGCTGGATAGGGTCAAACCTGTATCCTGTACGGAGTCTCACAGCCTGTGATGTTGATCTCTGAGGAGAACAGGAGGGCAAATTTCTCCTCTGTCACAGACTCTGATCCTTTTCTGTCTGCTCTCTTGATTTTCTTGATGGACTGTTAAATCCAAAACAAAGTTTGCATTTCCCAACGATGCTGAACATCAATCAAATATGAGCTGTAAATGTAGACCCGCACATACCATGTTTCTGAAGTTGGAGCACGTGCTCTTGGTGGCTGCGTTGTGTTCTAGGACGGCCGAATTGTTGATGAGTTCACCAACATTATCACTGCAGGTAACATCATTTTATTGTCAGTTATTTCCTCATACAACTACTGGGCAGTCAGTACCTTGATATTAACCACTTAAAGTTTTAACCTCTGTAGTTAATTTGATTTAATTATGTGCTAATCTACAAGATGCTAAAAAAACAAACAAGATGGTGACATACATCCTGCACAGCCTCAGATCAAATTTGCACAGCAGAAATGCTTGTTGACAATATGAGGTGTTCAGTGTTAACTAATGAATCCAGCCAAAGCGAAACCAAACAGCTGACTCTGTTGTTAATGTTACTGTAGATAAACGCTACAATTGTATAGTTAGGCTTACTCACACTTTTGCCTTTCAAGTAAATAATAAATGGTTGCAGCTGATTTCTGTTATGTATCCACATTATTGTGTTAAAATAATGTGGGAAATTATTATTTTAAGAATTTTGGTGATTTTAATTTAACTGTGAACACAACATTTAAACTTTAATAACAATTAATAACTTTAATAATCCAACATGTTCCACAGCAAATAACAGGAGCTATAGAAGAGCTTTGAAAGTTAGGTGTGAATGTTTCCTGCCAATTGTGCTATAAAGAATAAGTAAACATGCCCACAGCTTCCACACTTCCGATGTGGGAAAGATTGCAACATTAAGTACATGTTTGATCTTGTCCCATGCTCTGTTTGCTCTGTGGCACAGGCACACCTTTGGGGAAGCAGACACGCAGACCTAACGCTTCTTATGCATCCATGACAGAGACAGAGAGCAGAGGAGAGACCCAGCGATGGAGCTTGGTCACAGTTTTTATTTCTTCCCTCACATTTTGCCACAGTGAGGATATTCTGTCAAAGTGTGAGGGGATTTCAGATTCGGAAACACACGACTCACCCATGTACATTTGCCAGGTTCCTGGCCTGTATTTCATTAATGATCTGCGCCTTCACCAACACAGGCTTCCCAGGAGCTACCTTCTCTCCCAGCAGATATCGCACAGTTGTGGAGAACTTTGACTGTGTCTTTATCACCTGTGGGGGCTGCTTGTCCACTATAAGCGAGCTGAAAGGGTTACAGCGTTAGAAAACTGTCTTCTTCTTTTAAAAAAAAAGGTAATCAAGTGATTCCTTTACACTGCTGTTTGTGAGACAAGAAAGGAAACAATGGGACTGTGCTACCTTTCAATTAAAACCTGCACAAGTTGTGACAGCCCTTCCTGGAGCTCCGAGGTCAGTTCCCCAGTCAGCATCAGCTCTTGTCTCAGGTTTCCATTCATCCCAAGAAGCTGCTCAGCCCTAACAGAGAAAGTATAGAAAGAAAGCAAAAACACAAACACCCAAGCTGGTAAAAAAATGCAAAATATTTGTTTAATAACTGACCAATTTATACATTTATAATTCATACAGTCATTCTCCATCAGAGATTTTTTGTCTGTGTTAAATAAGCTGAAATTCTGATGGAGTCACTGGCAGAGATGGGCAGTAACGCGTTACTTGTAACGGTTGCAAAAACGGTAATTAGATTACCGTTACTTCCCGTAGGAACGCTGCGTTACTGCGTTACTAAAACCGTGATTTTTTGCGAGAATGTCTCATGACAGTGACGTAAGCGAGTGCGACGTTCGTGACAACAGCTGTGTGCAGATCAACAACAGACAATATATCGAGTGCAGAGAGAGTATGAGCGTGCAGCGTTTAAAGCGTGGAAGTACTGACCTTACTTTGAGTTTGATTCCATAAAAAGTGACAAAAACATTAGTGTCCGTTGTGCGTGGGAAGAAAACTTCTTTTTACACCGAAAAAAACCCCTAAACTTCCAAACAAGCACCGAGTAGCTACGACGTAATGGGAAACTCACAGAGAAACTCGTGAATTCTTCCACTGACCACTGCGGCACACCTGCACCAGGGTAAACCTCCGCCTACCCCACTCCTGCTTTACAGGTGAAAATAGAGCAACAGGACCGCTAGTCTTTGACTTTATTTATTTTCTGCTGTGTTTTACTTGCATCTATTTGAAAGACTGAGTGTAAACACAAAAAAAATTATTTTATGTGCTGGAATGTGCAGAAAATAGGTTTAAATGTTAAACAAATTTCTTCCAGTCAGAGAATGTTGCAGATAATTAAATTTTTGCTTGATGCATAAAGTTAAAAGGTTAAAACGAATAAAACAAGTTTTAAAAAGAGACTTTTCCATTTGATTACATTTTGTATGATGATTATGCAGAAAAAGTAGAATTGGGCTGAAAGATCTATCGCTTTATCACCTATTCAGGTTGTAAATCATGTTTTTAAAAAGTAACTAAGTAACTAAGTAATTAATTACTTTTGAAAATAAGTAATCAGTAAAGTAACTGGATTACTTTTTTGGTGAAGTAATCAGTAATTAGTTACTGATTACTTTTTTCAAGTAACTTGACCAACACTGGTCGTTGGAGTGTCCAGTAAGTGGTGGTAAGAATCGGTAAGTATTCAAGAAAGTGATTACAGTTGATCCTGAGGAGGGATATAAAAAAGGACAATCTAATGGTAGATTGGAGATCACCAATTTCATCAAACTGCAATCCATCCAAAAGTTCTAATAATTCATATTTGAGCAAAATGAAGATTGAAACAACAGATCAAACCAACTGCCAGGCCGACTTTGCTACATCTGGATACTGATCAATAAAGTTTTCAAATAAATCCAAAAATCACTGAAAATATGCAGACTTCAAAAACCCATCTCTTAAACGAGAGTGCGCTATGTTACTGGATTGTGTGCATAAAGGTGCCCTCTTTTTAGTGTTTTAGTGTGTGTCAAAGACACTGAATTGTGGGTTTTAACCAGGACGGCATAAACCAACACCACAAAGGCTGTGAGTACAAATAGTGGAGTGGTGTGCAGCTCACCAGGTCTGCAGGGGGCTGAGGTTGTCATCAAAAGGAAATCCTATGGCTGCTTTGCGCTGCTCCCACCTCCACTCGTTCAGCCTGTTAAGAAATCGGTTCTGGCAGATGCCCAGCAGCTCCATAGACTCCTTCAGCAGCTGTGAACGTTTCTACAAAAACCAGAATCCAAACACATTGCAATTTGATTATTAACTGAAAACAAGTAATCAAGTAATAACTGTTTATCTATTAACTACCAGTATATTTAAATGAGCTGAGGAACATCGAAAAATCAAACAGGTTTAATTAAACGGGATGAAGATCTCGTCTTGTTCTTTGGTGTTAATAATCTGAAAATTTCTAAAGACATTTAGTTTAACTTCTCTCGAGGATGCCAGTAATGTTGACGATGGTAACATAAGCCCCTGGCTCACCGTGGCCATTGCTTGTATATTGTACTCCAGCTGTTGGATGTGAGTCTGAAGTTTCTTGATTTCTACATTTGCAGAATCCAGTCCATTCTGCTGGAACGACCCTGTTAAAACAAGAAGCAACATGACATGTCGAGTCTTTCCTGCATTGTTGGGAAATGCTGCTTTGCTTTAAGTTAAATAATAAATTTATTCCTGTGCTGTACGTAGAAAACATTTGTTTTCCTCAGAAACAAGCTTTCTGGCAAAGAAAAGATTGCACAACCTAAAGGTGAGATTGTTTTGACAGACTGACTTTTATGTTGCAGCAGGACACACAGACCTAAAAAAAGGGAACATTCATCCTCTTCCACTTATGCAATTCAGGGTCACAGAGGGTTGGAGCCTATCCTAGCTATCACAGGTAATGTCTAATGTCTGAATTATGCCTAAGTGAAAAAGCCACATTGTAACCCTATTCCACAGCATTCCACCCAATCTGACCTGCATCTGCCAAGAAATGTGACAACACACTGAGTCGACAGAGTCCGCAACAACTTGAATGACGTGCAAGGTTGCGGTGAGGAGTTTTCAGATTCCAGTGAAAGTTAGTGTTCCCACAGAAAGACTAGATTTGCAAACTGACTTAATCCATGTATGTTTTTGGATGTGGGAGGAGTTCCCAGAGAGAATACACAAACTGTTCACATAAAGGGCATGGCCAGCCACTGGATTTTAACCTACGACCTTCTTGCTGCAATGAATGAATAAATGATCAGTATTTATTCAAGTTTGGATGTACGCGTTTGAAAAAAACGTTTGCATAATGCTTTCTTTAAAAAGTGTAATTTCAATACGGCACATGAGCACAATCAAAGGGTTTAACTGCATATATGTGTTCGTTCATTCTTCTCTTTTGAATGTTTATTATCAGTCATTATTAAGACAAAAGAATTTTTATCCAGTTACTTGATTAATAAAATGAATAATTGATAGATTACTCTATTACCAAAGTAACTATTACTAAACTAGCATGCAGCCAGTTTCATTTGCTCCAACTTTTTGTTCCTTTTTTCTTTGTCCTTTACTTCGTACTTTAGACCGTTCGTCTGTTTTAATAGCTTTCTTATCAAAAATATAAT